TTGATTACTCGATGGGATAGTAACAGTTTGACTTATACTTGTATAATCAACACTAGTTTCATTGTCAAGAGTGAAATAAGAAGTTAATACTTGACCTATAAACTTTGGATAACTTGTAGAGGTTACAGGATTCCATCCTTCTGGTAAAGGAGTAAAGGCTGCATTATAGAATGATTTTGGATATTTCTTAAACTTATCAGTGTCTGCTGCAATTTGAATAGTAACATTAACCCAAGGATTCATAGTTTCTACAGTTACACCTTTTTTAGTAAGTTGAAGATTATTTAGACTATATACAGATTTATTGGGACCATATATATCAACTATACCTTGATTACCAACTAACTTAAGTTCTAAAGGAGTTGGAGCTGATAATAATACAAAGTTTCTAAAGCTGGTATCAAAGAGTAAGAATGTAGAATTAGCAATGATATTGTCATATTCAAAAGTACCATTAACTATAGGTCTACTTAAAGTACCATTATGATCATAAGCAAGTATAGCTAAATGTCCAACCTTCCCAGGTAAAATTGGTAATGGATCAACTGTATGAATTACACTGGATGGATTAGATGGAGGACTTAGTGATAAACCAGGACTGCTCAACTTAGGGGTTACAGATGATCCAGTAGATCCATATAGAGGTTTTGGATGTTTCAAATATGTCTTAAGTGTATCCTTAAGGAAGAGGACGAGGGAATTGTGACTAGAGCTATATATAACCTTATAACCCCAAGGACTATTATCTAGAATTTGATAATCATGATATGTTAGGATACCAGATTCAATAAAGAACACAGGATTTCTTGTGAAGGTCTTTTGAGTAATAGTAGAGGAATGGTATTCATATTTGAAACCTTGTGGAACAATTATACCCAAATATCCTGTAGTAACCTCTGAGAAATTACCTTTACGATATAATACGGAAGCAAATGTTTCATTAGCACTAACTGAAAATACTAGAGCTTGTAATTGATTACTCGATGGGATAGTAACAGTTTGACTTATACTTGTATAATCAACACTAGTTTCATTGTCAAGATTGAAATAAGAAGTTAATACTTGACCTATAAACTTTGGATAACTTGTAGAGGTTACAGGATTCCATCCTTCTGGTAAAGGAGTAAAGGCTGCATTATAGAATGATTTTGGATATTTCTTAAACTTATCAGTGTCTGCTGCAATTTGAATAGTAACATTAACCCAAGGATTCATAGTTTCTACAGTTACACCTTTTTTAGTAAGTTGAAGATTATTTAGACTATATACAGATTTATTGGGACCATATATATCAACTATACCTTGATTACCAACTAACTTAAGTTCTAAAGGAGTTGGAGCTGATAATAATACAAAGTTTCTAAAGCTGGTATCAAAGAGTAAGAATGTAGAATTAGCAATGATATTGTTATATTCAAAAGTACCATTAACTATAGGTCTACTTAAAGTACCATTATGATCATAAGCAAGTATAGCTAAATGTCCAACCTTCCCAGGTAAAATTGGTAATGGTTGCACATTATGAATTATACTGGATGGATTAGATGGAGGACTTAGTGATAAACCAGGACTGCTCAACTTAGGGGTTACAGATGATCCAGTAGATCCATATAGAGGTTTTGGATGTTTCAAATATGTCTTAAGTGTATCCATAAGGAATAGAACAAGAGCATCATGATCATGGCTATATATAATCCTATATCCCCAAGGACTATTATCTAGAATTTGATAATCATGATATGTTAGGATACCAGATTCAATAAAAAACACAGGATTTCTTGTGAAGGTCTTTTGAGTAATAGTAGAGGAATGGTATTCATATTTGAAACCTTGTGGAACAATTATACCCAAATATCCTGTAGTAACCTCTGAGAAATTACCTTTACGATATAATACGGAAGCAAATGTTTCATTAGCACTAACTGAAAATACTAGAGCTTGTAATTGATTACTCGATGGGATAGTAACAGTTTGACTTATACTTGTATAATCAACACTAGTTTCATTGTCAAGAGTGAAATAAGAAGTTAATACTTGACCTATAAACTTTGGATAACTTGTAGAGGTTACAGGATTCCACCCTTTTGGTAAAGGAGTAAAGGCTGCATTATAGAATGATTTTGGATATTTCTTAAACTTATCAGTGTCTGCTGCAATTTGAATAGTAACATTAACCCAAGGATTCATAGTTTCTACAGTTACACCTTTTTTAGTAAGTTGAAGATTATTTAGACTATATACAGATTTATTGGGACCATATATATCAACTATACCTTGATTACCAACTAACTTAAGTTCTAAAGGAGTTGGAGCTGATAATAATACAAAGTTTCTAAAGCTGGTATCAAAGAGTAAGAATGTAGAATTAGCAATGATATTGTTATATTCAAAAGTACCATTAACTATAGGTCTACTTAAAGTACCATTATGATCATAAGCAAGTATAGCTAAATATCCAACCTTCCCAGGTAAAATTGGTAATGGTTGCACATTATGAATTATACTGGATGGACTAGGTAGTGAACTTGGACTTGATGAAGGAACAGGACTCTTGTCATGTGACACTGGAGGTTCATATGAAGTATTTTTAGTATTTGAAAATGTTCTAAGTGTATCCATAAGGAATAGAACAAGAGCATCATGATCATGGCTATATATAATCCTATATCCCCAAGGACTATTATCTAGAATTTGATAATCATGATATGTTAGGACACCAGATTCAATAAAGAACATAGGATTTCTTGTGAAGGTCTTTTGAGTAATAGTAGAGGAATGGTATTCATATTTGAAACCTTGTGGAACAATTATACCCAAATATCCTGTAGTAACCTCTGAGAAATTACCTTTACGATATAATACGGAAGCAAATGTTTCATTAGCACTAACTGAAAATACTAGAGCTTGTAATTGATTACTCGATGGGATAGTAACAGTTTGACTTATACTTGTATAATCAACACTAGTTTCATTGTCAAGAGTGAAATAAGAAGTTAATACTTGACCTATAAACTTTGGATAACTTGTAGAGGTTACAGGATTCCATCCTTTTGGTAAAGGAGTAAAGGCTGCATTATAGAATGATTTTGGATATTTCTTAAACTTATCAGTGTCTGCTGCAATTTGAATAGTAACATTAACCCAAGGATTCATAGTTTCTACAGTTACACCTTTTTTAGTAAGTTGAAGATTATTTAGACTATATACAGATTTATTGGGACCATATATATCAACTATACCTTGATTACCAACTAACTTAAGTTCTAAAGGAGTTGGAGCTGATAATAATACAAAGTTTCTAAAGCTGGTATCAAAGAGTAAGAATGTAGAATTAGCAATGATATTGTTATATTCAAAAGTACCATTAACTATAGGTCTACTTAAAGTACCATTATGATCATAAGCAAGTATAGCCAAATATCCAACTTTCCCTGGCAAAATTGGTAAAGGTTCAATTGGATGAATTATACTAGGAGATGGAGGTAAGTAAGGTATATCAACGTGTAGTGAAGAGACTTTCTTAACCTCTATATCTCCATTGCTAGTTATCATTATATCAATGCTTGAAGAACTACTAAAACTAGATGAAATAAGTGGACTCAAATCACTGGGAGGAAGTACAAAGTCTGAGCCAGACAATAACTTGGGGATATTATACAAACTACTTAGATCTTTCTGTACATCAACAATGCAGCCACCCCAGGGATGTCTAGTCACATACATCTCACCGCTAGATGTCATAAGTGTAGAATTAGATACGCTATATGAATCACCATTGTAAATAATCTTCAATTTACCAGAGTCAATTTCAACTCTACAATTCAAACCGTCACCAAAATAGAGTTGAATATAGTCTTTACTCGAGAAATCGTAAAATATAAAGAAAGAATTAGGTGGCGGATTGTCAAATGTAAAGAAACCACTATAGGCAGTCTTATGAATCGAACCATTGGCAAGAAAGGCAAGAGGAGAAACCATACCATGTTCACCTGACCTAATGGGACTATCTGAGAGGACATAATCTTCGGTGTTGTTTGTCGACACCTTGTATCCTCTCGAATTAATGGGAGCAGAGACAATCTCATCTAGCCAACAAAATAATAAGAAGTTGAGAAATAAAAGTAAATTTAAAAAAGTGACTTTTCTAGTATTAATTAAATCCATCTTTTAAGAGTAAGAGTAAAATAACTGAATAGAGAAGTGAATTAGGTTAGCCATTAAAATGTGTGACAAGACAAGACAAATAGTATTAAGATAGACAGGCGGCTTGTAGATATTTGGCTCGTAATAAATCTGGGTAAGTATAATAGTTTTTAGATTAGGTTTAAATTTAATTAGGTTAGGTTTAGGTTAGGGTTAGTAGGTTTAGGTTTAGTTAGGTTTAGGGGGGGGTTTAGTTTAGGTTTAGGTTTAGGTTTAGGTTAGGGGGGTTTAGGTTAGGTTTAGGTTTAGGGGGGGTTAGGTTAGGTTTAGGTT